CATCGAAGTAAATACTGAGACTGCCTTTTTTTTTTTTTTCTTTTTAAATGAGTTTGTGAAAGCTTTAGGTCTGAATGCAATCTAAGCTCTCACATTATTGAAATAGAAAATGGTGGCCAGGGAGTTTATGATTTTCACTAGGTTACAGAGCTGGGCAGTTGCAAAATTGACCCTACAATTTAGGTCTCTGTACTGACTAGGTAGTCTTATTTCCACTGCTTTTTGCTGCACACCCCCTCCCCCCCCTTGAATACTGCAGGCTTCAGAGTACCTCTTTACTAATGATTTGTTTCTTAAAGGACATGGACAATGCCCACTCTGATCTCAGAGGCCTGAGGTCTAGAAATTTGTTTTTATAGAATATTTATTCTAATGATAAGGAATATCTAAATGAAGATTTTTATTTCTTATGAAAGCACTTTAAAACTTCTCATGGTTCATGGACCCATTTGGCTCTCTAATGAATGAATAACTATTATTTTTGTGCATATAGACATAAAATTGTACATACCGTTTTGAGAATTCCATAGATTCCAAGTTAAAGATCTCCTGTTATATAACTCTTGGGCTTCTTTCAAAGATATGTGAACCAGGTTTTCTGTAAAGTGTTCAAATATTTCCTCATTCTCTTAAATGAATACCAATACAGTTTAAAGGATCGAGTGGTAGTTCAGTTAACTTCCCATATGCCCTTGTAGATAGTTCACGTTTGCTGAGCTGTTTAGCCACTATTGACTAATGTAGTATCTATCTTGGTGACATAGTCTCTAGAAGTTTAAAAAGGTGGGTGGTGGTGCTGAATTAGAGAATTAGAAATTTATTAATGTCTCAGTAGAAATTTTATTTCTCAACATTCTTAAAATTAATAACACAGTTAGATGTTATGTAAAACCCTGACAAAGAAAGGACTTTTCTTCCCTGATCAAAATCAAGACAAAGAAAAGACTGTTTATTGACACTAACTTATTTTTGAGGTATCAAATTAAAAATAAAAGGGAGACGAGAATATACAAACCGCCATCTTCATTTTCAACCCCTTCAAAGGCAAGAGAAAATTTTTAAAAGTATATACAGAGAGCTTATGCAGGGATTATAATGTGGAATCCAAAGGAGAGGCAGGGCCTGAACCCTGAATCCCCCTTTGGTCATGTGGAATTGGAGGTAGAAACCACCTCCTCTTTGGTGCCAGCTTCTCCCCAGCCTCCTCCTCCATTCTCTATTTATCTGATGTTTGCATTCCCTTCCTTTCTTTAGCACAGGGAAGTTTCTCAGGCTAAACCCCTCCTGCTCAAGGTAAATTTCTAGCTTGAAAAATTTCTCCTATTTCATAGCCCTTCTTGTTCAGGATGGATTCCATTTGACCAGTATATCTCGTTTTCCTTATTCACAAGTTTCTTTAAAATCATATTTATTCCTTGGAGCTTCTAATGATAAATTAGCACCTTTTTGTTTTCTTATCATTGTCTAAAACTGTATTATTTGTGTGCCCTCTCCTTCTCCTTCCTCCCTAGATTGAAAGCCTCATGAAGACAGTGATCGTAGTTTCATTCTCCACTATATTCCCGTTATCCAGGACAGTGCCTAGTGCTTGGTTCTGGCAAGCGCGCGGTGAATATTTGAATGAATGAACGAATATCCTCCCTATCAACTCCTCTAGAACACTGACAGTGTAAGGTAGTGCACGCGGACTTTTGTTAAATGATAGTCTGGCGGTCAGCCTGTCAGTCAGAGCCTCATCTCATTGCATCTGAAGAGCACTGCCTGCGGTTTTCCACTTTAGAACTTGCTGTGGTTACACAAAAGCCACATGGACCTTTCTGTGCTCTAAATACTTTGGCCAGTGGAGGAAACCTTCCTTTCTGTCAAAGGCTTAGCAAAGTGGCTGAGAGGTTTAGCTCTGGAGCCAGGTGTCAGGTTCAAATCTTACTGGTTGTGTGACTCAGGGAGTTACTGATCCTTTCTGTGCTCCAGCTTATGCATTTGTAAATTGAGGCTGGCAGCAGCACCTGTGTTACAGGGTGGGTTAAGGATTAAATGAGTTTCTCTCAGGTTAGCAGGAACAGTGATGGTGGTGGTGGTGGTAGGATTTCGCCCGTATTGTCATAGGGTAAGTATTTTTGTACTTTGTTTTTGATCTGACCATTCTATTTTTTTATTTTTTTCATCATTGCTTTCTTAAAATGTAAGGACCAGGTCACCTCTTAGAAATATTCTTATCATTTGAGATAGTCACATTAAGTAAATTTTTAATAAAAATCTGTATTTTTCCATGTGTAATGTGCACCCGTGTTTTTGTGTGCATTATGCCCATTATGGGATTGTTATGCCCATTATTATACCCGCGGTGTGTAATCATTATACCCATGTATAATGTACATCCTTATTTTCCCTCAAAAAGTTAGGCAAAAAGTGCACATTATACACGCCAAAATACAGTAGCTTATTAAGAGATACAATTTGATTCATTGCATTGTTTTCATTATTGTGTACATTTTATTTTCATGGGAACACTGAGTATGTTTTTAATCCCAGGGCCTGTGTAAAATAAAATTCTTCTATTTGGAGCATTTCTGTAATACTGTTCTTCATATTTGAATCTTCATTACATTTTCTGGTGAAAAAGATATATATTATGTTATTATAAAATCACACTGAACTACCAACATGGAAGGTATTTTCTTGCAAGGTTATTTTCTTTAGATTCGTTTACATATAACTTAATTGTGTTTCTCTGTCCTCCCCCCCTTTTTTTTTTAATGTGGTGAACCCATAAATGCCAGATTCAAAGTTTCTGTCAGGAAGAATTATTTTTAGGTCAGTGTTAAGAACAGGGAAGGAGAAAAGAAGAAAGAATAAAAAGAAAAGCCTTTAATTATACTCCACACCCATAATTGATGACTTTTATAGTAATCTGGGCATAGAAGGAAATATAAATAAAATTAAAGCATAATCAGTCTATGACCTAGTTTTGTCTTTTTTGGTTTTTGTTATCACTAAAATAATAATAACAAAATACTATTCATAGTTTCCTAGTACTCTAAAATTTTTCTTTCTCTCTCTCCTTTTTCCTTCTGCTCCTCTGTCCTAAAAAGGCACTTAGAGGGGAAAAAAGAACCTTGGACAGGATCTTAAAATGAAAAGAGAACATAAAAACAGTAGACAAGCCATTTGAGAATTTTGCCATTTGTTTTTTAATGGGGCATGTGGATGATGGGTGTGTCCATGAAGAACTTCTGTTCTCTGGGAATGACCTGTCCTGCTTTCAGTCCATTGGAGCTCTTTTGATCTCCTCACATCCAGAAACTTACAGGTTTGGGGAGTTGGTTCTTTTGTTGGTGACGTCATTTAATTTTAATGCTAAACACACACCATGTTTTTTACAGAAAGCTAAGTACACAGTTGGTAGGATGAATAATAAAGGCTCTTTTGGGTCATATGGGTAACACCAGAAAATGACAGAGAGAAGAAAAATAAAGAGTACTTTTTTCTTTCTTACCTTGTTTATTTTCTTTTTTAATTGTTGACACTATTACAGATTTCCCCCATTTACCTTCCTTTGGCCACTTCCGCCCTGCCCTGAACCCTCCTGGTCTTTACCACACTACTGTCTATGTCCATGGACGATGCACAATGTTCTTTGGCTCCTTTAACCTTCTTTCATCAGTCACCGCCCCCCCCCCACCTCCCTCCCTTCTGAGATCTGTCGATCCGTTCCCTGAATCCATGCCTCTGTTTCTATTTTGTTTATTAGTTTGTTTATTACACTATATTAGATGAGTGAGAGTGAGATCATATGGCATTTATCTTTCCCTTCCTGGCTTATTTCACTTAGCATAATAAAGAGTATTTCTAAAAAGCAGGTAAAGGAAATAGACATACAAGTGCAGGAAGCTCCAAAATTCCCAAGCAAGTTGGACCCAAAGAGGAACACACCAGGACACATCATAATGAAATTGCCAAAGATTACAGATAAGGAGAGAATCTTAAAAGCAGCAAGAGAAAAGAAGAGAGCTACCTACAAAGGAATTCCCATAAGACTGTCAGCTGATTTCTCAAAAGAAATCTTGCAGGCAAGAAGGGGCTGGGAAAAAAGTATTCAAAGCCATGAAAACCAAGGACCTACATCCAAGATTACTCTATCCAGCAAAGCTATCATTTAGAATGGAAGGGCAGATAAAGTGCTTCCCAGACAAGATAAAGGAGTTCATCATCACCAAACCCTTATCCTATGAAATGTTAAAGGGACTTACCTAAGAAAAAGATGATCAAAACTATGAACATTAAAATGACAACAAACTCAAACTATCAACAACTGAACCTAAAAAAACAAAAACCAAAACAAACTAAGCAAATAACTAGAACAGGAACAGAATCACAGTAATGGAGATCACGTGGAGGGTTATTGGCAGGGAGGGAGCAGGGAGCGAATGGGGGAAAGGTACAGGGGATAAGAAGCATAATTAGTAGGTACAAAATAGGTGGAGCGGTGGGGGGTGGTGGTTTAAGAATAGTATAGTAAATGGAGAAGCCAAAGAGCTTATGTATGACTCATGGACATGCACTAAGGGGGGCAATGCTGGAGAGAATGGGGGTACCAGGCGGAGGGGGATAAAGGAAGAAAAAAATGGGACATTTGTAATATCATAAACAATAAAGTATACCAAAAAAAAAATGCAAGGTACTTGGCTTGGAAGGAATGCAGAGATCAATTAGAGACCTAGAAGAGATGCCATAAAACTAAGTTATTTAAATAAAAGAATAAAAGGAAAAAGACACTTGGTTAATGTACATAGTATATTTTGATCTTTTAATGGCCTGTCAATATCATTTGTCATGCTTGTTTTTGCTGAAAAGATGTCGGTTGCAGACTAAGTCTTTGCTGCGTGGTGTGGTATCAGTTGTCTCTGATATTTCACAGCCTGACATGTGTGTGTGGGGGAGGACTTTTATTGTGATTATCAGGAACCTTTCACAAAAACAATCTTTCTTGTAATTTCCAGGTTTTCACCTGATGGAAGACTAATTGTATCATGTAGTGAGGATAAAACTGTTAAAATTTGGGATACCACAAGTAAGCAGTGTGTGAGTAACTTCTCAGATTCTGTAGGGTAAGTCCATTCTATTTGTGCAATGTATGAGATAGTTTGCTAAGGAGATATTTAATTATTACAGTTTAAATAAAAGAAGAAGAGTAAAGAAATCAAAATATGAGACATCTTAATCTTTCCTCCTAGGTTTGCAAATTTTGTGGATTTTAACCCTAATGGTACATGCATAGCGTCAGCAGGTTCTGATCATACTGTGAAAATCTGGGATATAAGAGTGAACAAATTACTCCAGCATTATCAAGGTACAATTTGCATAACAAAAGAATTCAGTTGTTGAATGGACTCCTCTGGGAAACTTACACGGATAAACTGTCCTCAGTGTGGTCTGGCCCTCTTACTAAGAGTCATGGGCTGCCTTTGAATTGACTAAGGAACAGTTAACTTCCATCAACACCATGGTCTGAGAAGCTGAGGTAGATGCCAGAGTGGAGAGGAAGGTGGAAGGATCTTAAAAATGATGCCAGGACTGCAAAAAAGGAAAGAAAAAAATTACTGTGAGATTTTCAAACTTCGGTTATTTGGGATAGAAATTGGCACAAATACTTGTTATAACTGGTAGAAAACAACATCCTACTGTGCCTATATTTTGAAGTTAAAAGAAATTAATCAATATCTTGGTTTATGTTGAATTTATATTAAATCCACATTTCTCTTGGGTCTGTTCACAAACTTTCCATCACTGTGTTATACTGCCTCCTATTGGAAGGATGGTGTCCAGAAGTGAGTTCTCAAACTGACAAGACTGTGCCCTTCTCCATCTATATGTCCATGCTCTTCACCCCTTAGCACCAAGCCACTAATTGATTATTCCATTTAGCTTAAAGCTGGGCTGTATACTTTATGTGAGCTGGTGGTAATCAGCTGTTGGTTATATCGGTAATGTATCTGAAGACTTTTTAGTTGTCATGGAAAGATCGTCTTTCCATGACACATTCTCATTTTGAAAGCTATTCTATTTCATTAGCGGGACACTTAAGCTGTGTGATGCCCAACTACTTACTTGTTTTGGTGTTGTAGAAACATTACCTCTAATTGATTCTTGTTTTCAGCCTAATATTGCTAAAGAGCAGAGGGGCATCTTTAGAATTAAGAATTGTTCTCTAAAATTTGTGCTTTATGTTCTACAAATCAGTTCACAGCTGTGGAGTTAATTGTGTATCATTCCATCCTTCGGGTAACTATCTCATCACTGCTTCTTCAGACGGTACACTTAAGATTCTGGATCTACTAGAAGGAAGGCTCATATACACACTCCAAGGACATACGGTACTAGCACTAAGATTTTTGTTTTTTAAGTAAAATGCACTTAAAGTCGTGAACCATTTTATTATATGCCTTTATTATTTTTCCAAGTGTAGGACACATTGTCACTATCATAAAAAATATTTTTGCTTCCAAGGCAATGTTGTCCTCTGGAAGCCACTCTTAGAAGTATTATTTATTGTAGTTTTTGTCAAAATCAGTGTGTATCTTTTAATAACTATTAAATTAACCCTTCATTATTCTCTGCATCAGGATGTAGTTTAGGTCTCATTGCCTAAGTGGTGGTAGGTAAATTTTTTCCCTACGTCTGCTCTTTCTTCTCCTCTGGAGGCTGTCCCACTGACTTTGACACCAGCCTCTCACACTCCGTCAGGCACTTCCTTCACTATCTGGTGAAAGTAAAAGGAGAAATTTAACAAGTGGAGCCCAATGCCTTCTATTCTTGGGAGTAAGCCTGCCTTCACTTTTCCTCTGATACTTTTTGTGGGGAGGCCTGCCCTATCCAGTCTGGCCTGTGACTAGGCCCTCATATCTGACACGTTCTGGGATTCAGTTCTAGAAAGCCCATTTGTGTACAGATAAAGCCACATTCTTTCTTTACAAGCCTTTATCAGGAAGAAAAATGATGTTTTGGCTCTCATATGCCTTATTCTTTTGTCTTATTTCTCAATTGGTTTAAAACCCAGTGGGAAAGAGAAGTTCTATTTATTAAGCCTGGTCAGTCATGCACCCACACACCCTGGCATATAACACGCTAAAGAAAAACTTTGTTAAATATGTAAACTATTCCTCCATTCAGGGTAAATACTCAAACTTCTCTAAATTTTTTAGAATGTATCCTCTTTTTTTAAAGTACTAGATACTTCCGTTTAACCAAGTATAAGCAGTGTCTATCCAGAAATAGGATGGCCTTTGTGGTCTAGGGGAGAAGGTGTTTTTTCTACCTTCATGTACCCTGCCTGGCTTCCTGTTTTGCTTTGTCATTTGTTCTGCAGCTGTGTTAGAGTGAACCTGAACAAACAACCAATAAAAAGTAGCCAAGGATTAAAATATCCATGGAAATAGATTAATAGAAAAGAAATATAAACACAATATTTTAGGTGAAAAATTTATAGACAAAGATGGAATTTTTCACGGTGTGGAGGAGATGTTTATGAGGTTATAATCACCTAAATCTGTGGGATGGTTTACTTAAAAATATAAGATGTTTTTCCCCAGAAATTTTCTTGTAGAGATTAAGGACACATAAACAAAACAATATAAAGATATTTTTGAAATGAGAAGTCATTACTCTTACCTTCATTGAAAAATTGACCCAAAGGCTATGCCAGTTGTAGCTGTGCTAAGTGTAATGTCATCTTCTTCAACTTTACAGTCGTTGCTCAATTTCAAGTTCTCATTACCTCTCACCCAGATAATTGCAGTAACTTCCTAACTGGCCTTCAACTATTCATTTTTACTTTAATTCATCATTCTCACAATTGTGACATCAGTTTTTATTCAGTATTATTTTGTATTAGTTTCAGGTGTACAACATAGTGGTTAGACAGTCTCATACTTTACAAAGTGTTTGTGACAGCAATTTTCATCACAGCTCTCCTCCTGTCTCCTGCTTTTAAAATTATTAGTGGCTAACTGTTGCCACATGACGGGCATTGTAGTCAGAATATAGCCTTTTCCCAGGTAGCTTTATTCTTATTACTCTCAGAGTTATCATTCAGTTTCTGCTAGTGATTTGTTGAATAAGGAGTCCAAAGCCAGAAAATCTTAACAGAAATTCTTACTGATTTACACATATATGAGCTTTTCTTTTTTAAAGGAAAAAGGTATATTTTTAAATTTTTATTAGAATTTCTTTTTCTTTTAGTGACATTTATATGTGTTTCAATATAATTGGGTTGGTTCTTTGATTATTTTTATGCATACTCTGCCTGCATTAATTGCTAGCAATTGGATATGTTCTCTCAGACATATTGTATAGTCTACATAAATTAGGAAGAAAGAAAGTAGTTTCCCAGTACTCTTGGCCATGAGAAAACATCACCAAGTACTTTTTCTTTTATTTCCATTTATTTCTTAGGGACCCGTTTTTACTGTTGCGTTTTCAAAAGGTGGAGAGCTGTTTTCATCAGGAGGTGCAGATGCACAGGTTTGTAAGCTCCCTCTGATTAACTTAGGGTAAAGCAATCCAAGGCCTCAGCAGAGACTTTGACAACCAGCGAGTTTGTATCTGTTAAGATGAGTCTTAATGAGTTTATATTTTAACTTACTGCCAGGAAGTCTGTTATTTCCTACTTGAACTTGTGCCAGTTCTGATAATTTTTGGAACTCAAGCAGCGGTTACTTTCTTTGCTTGTCTTTACACTTAAATATACATGTAACTGACACTTACTGTATGCCCAATATTGGTATGGCACTTTCACTTAAATTATTGCCTAATATTTTGTCTGCATGTCTTATGTTTCAAGTCGTTAAGGTCCTTGAGGATTGTAAATGTAAATTGTTTATACAGCAATTTTTCATTTACTTGAAACAGCCAAATGTCATTTATGGCCAGATTTATTCAAGGTGGACAACATGGTTTTGGGCTTTTGAAAAAAATGGAGATTTTAAGGTAATAAGTTATTTTCTTAATGTGAATTTTAAACTGGATGGGAAGGCAATTCAAAAGGCTAAATCTCTCCCTTCCACTCTTAAAAAAAGTATTGTGAAGTAGTAATATCGTTGAAATATATATCTAGTCTTCCTATTTTGAGGGACAGTTCTATATATTCATTTTTTAAAAAGTCAGTTCTGTTGCTTGTATTCTCAAGTCAGTGATTGTCAACGTGATTAATTTTTAACAGGTGTTATTATGGAGGACTAACTTCGATGAACTGAATTGTAAAGATGTTATTAAAAGAAATCTCAAAAGATTACATCTTGATTCACCACCACATCTTTTTGACATCTATCCAAGAATACCACATTCCCATGAGGGAAAAATTGAGACTGTTGAAGTGAGTACGTTGTTCATATTTGTCCTACTATTTGTAAGTGTACATTTTGGGGCTACTGGTCAACTAGATGCTTGAAATTATACTTAATTATATAAAACGTAGTTCTGCCTTAAAGCAGCAGCACTTTGAGAATAATTATTTTCACTAATGAAACTTTAAATATGGTAGTGTGTAATAGATCTAAAGCCTGTCATATTTGCTTCTTGAAGGCTTAGAAATAAAAATTGTGTTAATAGTAATGGAAATGAGGGCAAATCTAAGGTCTTTGGTGACTGTGAAGTGTGAACAAGCTTCATATTCTAGACATGTTTAGGAAGTTGATGTGATGGTTGTCATGAAAACAGGGCTAAAGGGAAAGAATTTTTATATGTTACTGAAATAAGTATTTTGAAGTCCTTTAATAGCAACGAAGAAAATATTATGAACAATAAAAAGAAGAGATTTGGGCATTAAACCTAATAATTGAGACCATTTTACTCTTTGCTTACGTATATTTTGAAGTATATATTTATCTGTTTCAGTTTTTGTTGACAAGTTTCTTTAGGTCCTATAGAGTTAAATGTTCTACTCTCTTCAAAAAAAAATTTATCTTTGATGTCTACTTTGCATTTTGCATGACTCTCCTTAATGCCGTTCCTCTTTCAAGAGCTAATACGAAATCATTATTTCCTCCTGATTCATCTGAATATTTTTAATCATTGACAGAGCCTTTCTTTGCTTTTAGAGTAGGTAATTTGAGTTCCTAAGACTTACTCCTGAGTAGCAACGCACAGTCACCTCGTGCAGTCTCCATGCTGTGCTTCCCTACCCCTTCTGTGACCTCTGTGCTGCCCGCCACACTCACCCTCACCCCAGTCATTTCTTTAATTTTGGTTTCCTTGGTCTTTGTCTTTCTGTTATCTCAGGCATTTGTTAGTCGGGCGGGGTGGTGGGGGGCGGGGGTGTGTGTGTGTGTGTGTGTGTGTGTGTGTGTGTGTGTAAGTTTAAGTTTTTAAAAAGTTTTTTGGACTATTTTCTATATTTTGTTTAATTTAGGCACATTTTGGGATTTATATTCTAGTTTTTCCTTGGTAATGTTTATTTTCAGTTCTTTGCTATAAATGTGGTTCTATCAAACCTTGACCATCTTTCTAGTTCTTCTCAGTATTTACCAATATGCTTTACTAATTCTTTATTCTACTGATACCATTCCCACTGCCCCCTTATTTCTTTGGGGGAAAAAAAGAGAATGGAATGTAATTTGTTTATGGTTCATCACATGTGCGTTTCATTTTCTACAATATAGGTGTATTTTTTGAACCCCTGTGATTACATGTCTGCACATATATGTGAACTATATTGTGAGTTTCCTTCCCTTGTGTAACCCCAAGCTGGTTTTACTCTCTCAGTGTTTTTTATTTTAGCATTACTGTGGCGTGGGTGAGCTTAACTATCAGTGTTGCTGCTGCCCTGCCATCTGCTCAGCCACCTTTCCACAGAGACAGGAGGCCGAGCTGCCATTCAAGCCATTTTCTCTGTGGCTTACTGTCAGCCCCAGCCCCTTTAAGAGCGCTGAACTTCCTTTAAAATGTCAACAAGTTGTCTGAGTAACTCTGTTCTGACTACAGCCAGAAAGCAGTAAACTGGGGTTGCTTTGTATGGCTGGGTCAGGATGACCCAGGCCATGCGAAGGGCATTCTCAACCATATTTTTCACATATACACTAAAAAAAAAAAACAATTAAAAACTGGCTTTTCATCTTGGAATTAGAGTGCAGTTACACTGTACAGAACATTGAGCATTGTGACTGAATTAAATTTGTGGCCTTAAGAAAGTCAGCCTGAGTGTACTTAGTTTAAATTACCTGTAGGCACTCCTGGTTGCTTAAGTTAAGTATGTAATATGACACATTTGTAAAATACCTTCATATCCTATAATATAAAAATCCAGAGAAGTATAGGATTCGGCATATGAGCAACCATTTGTTTAATTTATTTTTAACAATTTTTTAAAGATTTTATTTATTTCTAGAGAGAGAAGAAGGAAGGGAGAAAGAGAGGGAGGGAAACATCAATATGTGGTTGTCTCTCGCATACCCCCTACTGAGGACCTGACCTGCAACCCAGGCATGTGCCCTGACTGTGAATAGAACCAGCGAACCTTGGGTTTGCAGGCTGGCGCTCAGTCCACTGAGCCACACCAGCCAGGGCATATTTTTCTTAACAATTTCTTATAATAATGTAAATTTTCTGGACAAAGGACATATTTGAATATTATAAATAAATAATTATTGAATAGTCAAACTATTTTTGAAAACTTCAGATATCACCTAGAATAGAATGAATCAGAATCAGTGTTGTGCTGTGTGCTCATTTAGATTAAGTAAATTTTATTTTGAAATACTAAATTCTGTAAATTGAATTATTTTTCAAGGCTTTAGGCAAAGTCACCTTATATATGTTACTTTGGAAATGTTTGAAAATTACCGAAAAAAGTTTTTGAGGTTGGAATTCATGATTAGAAAAGCAGAAATATATTATGAAAGGATGTGGAATAAATGGCATCTGTGACTTAATTAATTTTACTAACTTTCTCTTTTTATAGTAACTAGTAGTGTTTCATTTCTGAGTTTGCGGCAACATAGCATTTCTGTGATTTGCATTTTACTGTTTTCTATGAAGCTTATTTGAATTGCATAATTTCAGCCTTCTGGGTGAGATTGTTTGGTCTTTTTCAAAAGCCACCCGTTTGCTAGCCTGAAGTGCTTCACTTTTTTAAAAGCAGGGGATCCTGTGGAGTCTTAGACCTTGGGTACCAGCTGACTAAATATATAAATTACTAATTCCAACATGGGTAGACAAGGTGATAGCAGGTTGGTTGTAGAACAGATGAGAGAAGGTCGCATGAAAGAAGGTATGAAGCGTAAAATCCTCGCCCAGCTGTGTGGAAGAGGCCCCTCCTGTGTCCTTTCTATCGACCTAACTGCAGGCCCTTCGTGGCACCCCTGGCCTCAGCATGCCATCTTAACTGCAAACATCAGAACAACTTCTTTCTCTTTTTTTGAGGGAAAGAAGCCTAATTTCTAAATAATGTGTCTCGACCCTCCCCACAATGGGCTATGGCACATCACTAGGTCACGCTGACTTTATCTTCAGACTTTGATGAGCTGAAGTGCCTCACCCTGCCCCAAACAAAAGCAAACTTTCCATCCTGAAGAAGGAACTTAATTGTGAGTACATGGCAGTTTGTCCTGAAAAGTCCTCTACTCTTGTGTATTTTGATAGGAGGACAATAGAGTCATTCTAAGGGTTGGTGATAGATCTTGATGGCAGCAAGGCATCAAAATAGTTATTCTTGGGGAATAGAATAATATTGTAGGAAGGGATTATGGTTAATTAGTTTAAAAGAATTTAATAATAAAATAATTGCTCTAATCGCTTTTAATTTTATAATGGTTATTTAATATCATCTTAATCTTAATATCATAAATTACATAAGAAATTCCTTATGATATTTAGTAAGAAGGACAATTTCTTTTGACTTAACCAAATATTTGTATAATTATCTGGCCATGACTCGTCATTGAGAATTATAAGTGATCAATGTAAGTCTTCAAGTCTGAGATCAGGTTTTATCTCAGTCTTCTATAAAGGTTGAAAACATTATAATTTATGATTAAAAAATGACCACTTATCTATCAATTTTGTACTGGGTATGGTATATGACTATAGTATTTTGGGCCTCAGGAACTGTTCTTCAAAGATTATTACATGGTGACACTAGTAGTAATAACATTATCTAACACATACAACATTATTTTAGTTACTTTACATAAATTAAGTCATTTAATCTTTCTTAAAACTCTATGAAGTAGTACAATTTTTTATCCCACGAGAAATTGAGTCTCGTACAGTTAAATCATAAAACTAGTAAGTGGGAACACTAGAATTTCATCCCAGGCACACTTGTTCTTTTCTGTACTTTTAACCATTTTGATATGTTTCAGTATAATCAAAATTAAATTTCATCCTGATAACATATTAACTATCTATGTGCTGGACATTGCATTGGCTTTAGGTATAGAACGGGGAACAAAATGGGCAAATTCCTTGCCCTTCAGAATTTGTTAGTATCAGTGTTTGTGTTCATGAACTCGTAAGTCTGAGGGATACAGAGAACCTCAGGTTGGGGTGGTTCCTGTGAGGTCACACAGACTAACCTCTCCCTCCCGCACAAATCCCTCGTTATATGCCCTCGTCAGTGATGGAGAACTCAGTCTCTCATAAGGCAGCCCACTTCATTTTGAGGCAACTAGTTACTAAAGGTTTCTTCCCTTTAATAGGAATGGAAAGTTAGCAGGTACCGCTGGTATTTCTGGAGGTTAGCCCGCAAAGAACTTCTCTGCGAGTGTCACCGCTGCCCCCATTCCCAGCATATTTTCTTTATGGAGAAGCTGTAAACCTTTACTCAGTAAGAATTTCCTGCTCTTTTTAATGTATGTGACAGCTGCTTGTGCCAAAACGCATGCATGGGTTGCAGGTTCTGTCCCAGGTCGGGGCATATAAGAGAGGCAATCAGTCAAGATTTCTCACTCAACATCAATGTTTCTCTCCCTTTCTCCCTCCCTTCCTTTCTCTCTAAAAATAAGTGAATAAATAAAATCTTTAAAAAGTACTGTTACAGCAACAGTTTCCCAATTTGTAGACGTTCATAAGATTTTTCAGTGAGTGATGCTGGTCATTTATTTCCATGTGATTTAGATTTTTGAGCAGTTCCAATTTTCCAGGGTGGCAAAACCAGATTGTATTTTTTGCAGGTAAACAATTTCATATCTACACTAGGTGGCAGTAGATAAAAGAGAATAACATGTTTGCAAGCCATCTGTTTGGGCAGCTAATCTAACACTGAAAGGAAAGTTGTAATCCTCAGGATTCTTTGCCTTGTCCCTGGCCTCAGAGCTGATAGAATGAGGCTGTGTGTTCTGTTTTATGGAACAGCCAGGAAGGAACACACGTATAGGCAGGCTGAGGGGGTAGACCCTCTACCCCGGCTTCTCACCCTGCAGGCTCTAATCTCTTTACTCTAGCATGAGGATTACTGGGCACATATACTTCTGCCTCTGACACAGTTGGCTGGGTAATTATAAAATCTTCTTAATATTTCCAAAACTACAGCTATACCCAGCAAACATGATAAGTGCTTTTAAAATCATTACACTCCTCTAACCTCAGGCTCAGCCTTTTTCCCCACAGTCCAGGACTGTTACAGTAGTGTCCTCACTGTTATCCCTGCTTTATTCTTGATACTTTACATGTCTCTGTCCGATTATCTCTCAAAAGCACATGTTAGCCTCTGGTTTTTCTGTGCCTTCTCAAATCCCTTTACACTTCACAGTTTGACCCTTACCAATCTCTTCTGCTATCCTATGTCAGTCACGTCAGCATTCACCTCTCTGCTCAGAAATGTTTTTTACCTCATCTCTATGTCTCTGTTTTTGTTTGTTTTCAAAACCTTCTTTAAAGGAGCCATCTTAAGCTCTGCTGCCTCCACAGGAAGCCTTTCTCACTGGGTGCTCAGTCAGCAGTTTTTCCCTCGCGGTTCGTTAGTGCACTTACTGTTGGTATCATTCATTTCATACAAGTTCTGCTATCTTTGTTGCCTTGTTCACTTCTTTGTATTCATAATGTTTAATAAATATTTGGTGATTATGTGGTTTATTTTTTTTTAGCCTTCTCAAATTCAGAAATAGCTTCCCAGAAGTAGTTGCCACTCTAGTTAATTATTCCTTTGCTTTTTTTTTTTTTGAAGGACATGTGCAATGTATTTTGTTCAGCCACGTTCTAAGATTATTAAATCCCATGAGTTTATGAATTTAACATGATTGCAATAAATTTAGGTTGGCTTTTTACAAAAACTAGTCTGATTTTAATTCATACAGAAAAGTAGTAAAGATGGCTGTGCTACTGGAAACTTGCAAGTTTAACAAAACCTCAACTATCCCACGTTTATCCATGCTGGTAGATCATGGTTTGAGTAGTTTTTAAGTAGAATAACTTCTGAAGACCTAACTTGGAAGTACATGTTACTATATCCAATCCCTTTATAACACATCACTCTTCAACTTCTTTGTCCTTTGCTTTTTTAATTTACTATATATGTTCGAATTTGTGATTAGGTATTATCTAGTTTTTGATGGTTTTAAACTTTATATAAATGAAATCACACTGCATATATTTTTCTGTAACCAGCTTTTTCATGTAACATCAAAGTCCTGAGATTCATATGTAGGTACTCTGAATTTGTGCATTCATGTGTTGTTGCACATAGTTGTACTTCATTCTTTTCTCTGTTGAATGGGATTCCAGTGAATTTACCACAGTAGTAACTCCTGTGATTTATGTATCTACCCTACTGTTGATAAATATTTGAGGAATTCTGGTTGTGAGATTTATTTATTTATTTATTTATTTAGCCATTATAGACAATGATGATATTGGCATCATTGAGCTTTCTGATTTTTATAATTTTTTAGCTGACAAGTGGTATTTTGCTCTAATCTTTTCTCATTACTAATGTTTCTGAAAATCTCTTCATATGCTGGTTAACTGTCAGGTTTTCTTTTCTACAATTTTTTTCTTTGGCTTTCTTCTCTACATTGATTTGTAGGTTTTTCTTATATATTTTAGATATCTGTCCTCTCTTAGTTTTAGATATCATACTACCTTCCTTCTGTTCCATTGCATGACTGTTAACTTTGTGGTATTCATTGTTAAACAGAAATTCTTATTTTGGTATAATCAGATCCATTTCTTCCTTATGGTTTTGATTTTGAAGCTTTTGTTTAAGATGTCATTCTCAAACCTGGATCACAGAGATGTTTTTATACATTTATCTTTATTAAGTTTATAATTTTAACCTAACATTTAGGTTTCTAGTTTATCTGCTATCCACCTTTGTATGTAGTATGTTAGTCAGGGATCCATATAGTAAGCCAGTTTTCTCAACTATAAATCATCTTCCCTTTATTGACTTGAGGTGCCATTTTCCTTTTATGTTTATTGTCCATAAATAAGGGCTCTTCATCTAAGATCCTTATGTTACAGTTTTTTATTTAGTGTCTTTATATGAGTGTTACTATTTTTTCCTGTACAGGTCATATGCATTCTTGTGTGTTTATTCTGATGTATTTAAATTTTTTATGTTATTGTAAATGATATGTTTTAAAAATCTACATTCCTAACTGTCTTGAAGTACAGACGTACTCAATTGATTTCGTATTTTGATTTTCAATATAGTAAACTCTTATTAGTTCCAATGATGTAGCAGTAGATGCTTTGAGGATCTCTCCATTGCTAATTATATTACATATAATGATAATTTATTTCTTTTGTTCCAATTCTTATATCTTAATACTGTTTGTTTTTTTCTTGTGTTAATAAACTGGCTAGGACATTTTTCTGCATCTTTTGAGGTGGGTCATTTTATTTTATTTTTAAAATCCTGTTATAGGTGAATTATATTGATTTCCTAATGTGAAGTTAACTTTTTATTTCTGAAATAAATTCTACTTGGTCTTATACATTGATAGATTTGATAGACTAATATTTCGTTTAAAATTTTTACATCCATGTTACTAAAACTACCAACATATTTTGTTTTTAGAATATATTAGAAAATATACTCTAAATTTGACAAATGGTATGCCCTTTCTTATGGTATAAAACTCTAATATTATCCTTACATATATATACAGATTAATCCAAAGCTTGAGGTAATCGACCTGCAGACCTCTACACCCACTGTTGTGGACGTCCTTTCTTTTGATTCTACCACAGTAAGTTTTCTTTGACATTTAAGTGACATTTAATTACCTGGCACAATCCATTTTTCTTAAAAAGTGTGTGGAAGAGGAGAGAAAAAGTGGGCTAAATAGCCTAACATTTTTGCATAGAAAAAAGCTTTGTACCAGAAGTCATGTTTACGATGTGTCTAAATAGCCACAAGGGGGAGCAGCACAATTTCCAGAAAAGCCTTCACTTTAGGACTTGGAGCTCAGTCTAATTCATACTCACAGTTTTCATCTCTCAATGCCGCCCAGATGACGTCTCACTTGCTGTCACAGAACAGACTTTTTTCTTTGTTAATTGCCTTTCAGAGGTGTTAAACTTACTTATAGTCTTCTCTTTGTTATTTCCCTTTGTTAATCCCTCCTGGTGGATTATGCAGGTATTCAGAAATATTTCTAATACTTGCAATTTTGTTTGTAAAAATTCCATACAGGGTATTTATTTACTCAATACATCCAACATCTTCAAAAATCGAGAGTATCAGCCTTTCGATCTGAATCTGTTAATCTTTGCAAGGCAGGTCATTGTTGCCGTTGGTCCTGCTGGTCAGTGCAGCTGGTCCCAAGGACGAATGAGAGGAGCACGTAGTCTGTGGCGACACTGCTGTGGCGCTGTCACTACAGAAAGGCATGCCGCTTAAGTGCGCCAGCTGCGGAGAGTCAGATTTGGCCCACGTAGTGAGGGGAACAAAAACTAGGTGGCTTTGGGATGTGCTGCCTTCTTGGGAGGTAGTCATAGATTAAAATTGGGTGTTCCTGACCTAGAAGGTACCACACATCTTCAAACACCTTCGGTTCACACTTTGAGACTCACTCTCCCTGCCAGTACCCTTCATGCTTTGCAAAGCTTCATCACCTGAGGAGCCCAGATGTTCTTGACAGGCTGTGTGCTATGGAGGTGGCATCACTGCCCACCTAGCAATTGATAGCAGGATGGCGGCCCTTGGATGGTAATCCAGAGGGAATACAGTGTATGTGGGACTTAGAAAGTGGACAGTTCTGCATAATAAACTCATGACAGCTTTGCAGTTGTGATACAAAGCAGAATAATAAGACTGAAGAACATAATTATTATCTACATTAGGATAATATTAAATTATATGTAATTGCCGTTTTATAGATAAAATGGTTTAATATCAGGGTTTCCCATGATTCAACCCAATACATAAGCATTGAAAGGAAGACTCCACTGTTAGAATTGTGTGCTTGATGCTACATAAAAATAAAACAAAAAAACAAGAAAGCACAGGAACACAAAAGCTTGTTTGCTCTGAACTACTTTGGGATTAGGTTTATGAAGTCCCATCTTTGTAGATTCTTTTACAACCTGGAAGATAGCTGCCTCCAGGCAAGGTATTAGACTCCTAATTTTATATATTTTACTAGCGCATTTTCTAAAGGAGTAGATGCTCATAAAGCATTTATATTTTTATAAAGACTCCCTCTAGACTTCCAGTCACAATGGAGGGTAGGTAAACATGGCCTGCCTCCTTGCACAACCACATAGAAACTACAACTAAACTATAGGACAGCCATCCCTCAGGACTGTCAGAAATCAAGTTGAATGGAAGTCTGACAGAATTAAAGAAGCCACATCCATCCAGAATGGTAGGAGGGGCAAAGATGTGGAACCAGTTGGCCCCACATCCATGTGTGGGGGGTAAAAATTCGGGAGGGATACCTTGGGAGTGAGGAGTCCTAGACCATCATGAGGCCCTCCAAGCCCACGGTTCCTTTGCCAGGATAGTAAGTTCCCATAACTTCTGGCTGCAAAAACCAGCAGGGATTGAGTTGGTGGAAGAAAATTCTGGAGTCCCAAGCAGTTCCTCTTAAAGAACGCACACACAGACTTACTCAGACTCACTCCCTTCGAGCTCCAGCACAAGGGCAGCAGCTTGAAAGGCACAAGTGACATATAGGGAGAAACTGAAGTGTCTGGCATCATGGCGAGAGATGGCAGACAGCTTTCTCCCAGACAGAAAGGCAGGCAGAGGCCTCTGTCCTTTTTCTAAACCTTCTGCCCACAGAGCCACAGAGCTGGCAGGCAGGTGCCATATCTGAGACTCCATCAAGCTGGCTAACCCTGTTTGCCCCAGCTTGGAGATCACCTGAGGCCCCATCCCACTCAGTTTTTAGACTGACCCAGGCTGTTAACAGTGGCTTTTCCATATAAATGGCTGGTCTTGGTTCATCCTTCACGACTTCCTAAATCTTCTCAAATAAGCAACAACTGACCTCAGTGAACCCCCAGACCTTCTACCTCTTGCTAAATGGCCCAAGGCCTGGCACTGGAAGCAGCCAGCTTAGGTTCACAGCCTCCAAGCCCAGAACAAGTAGCATCTGTCTCAGACTGCTTTATATCTTATGCAGGGCAGCCCTGGGCAGAACACTGGGGGGAGGCTGACCTTGGCCTGCAACACCCAAGAAACCCCAGAGTTGCACACCCATTGAACAGCCACAGACCACATTGGAGCAACACCACCCTGCCCCTGCACAGCTAATCCTCCATGGAGGATAGAAGCTGGTGGTCAATGGTTATAGCCAGTCCTTACAGCTGACTGGCTTGGGTAAATCCCTCCTATTGACCTGCCAACAGCAGCCAAGGCTCAAATACAAGAGGAAGGTGTACTCAGCCCACACAAAGGGCACACCTCAAGACCCAGCTTGGGTGATAGGGGAGGCTATGCCACCTGGATTAGGCCGCACTACAAAGACAGGGAATCATAGCAGCTCTACTTAATACATGGAAACAAACACAGGGAGGCTGCCAAAATGAGGAGACAAAGAAACATGGCCCAAATGAAAGAACAGATCAGAACTCCAGAAAAAGAACTGAACAAAAGGGAGATAAGCAATCTATCAGTTGCAGAGTTCAAAACACTGGTTATAAGGATGCCCAAGGAATTTAGTGAGGACCTCAACAGCATAAACCAGATCCAGTCCAAAACGAAGGATACACTAATTGAAATAAAGAACAACTTATGGGGAAACAACAATAGAATGGATGAAGCCAAGAATCAAATCAATGATTTGGAACATAAGGAAGCAAAAACAACCAATCAGAACACAAAGAAAAAAGAATCCAAAAAATAAAGACAGTATAAACAGCCTTTGGGACAACTTTAAGAGGTCCAGCCTTTGCCTCTTAGAGGTGCCAGGAGGAAAAGAGAGAGAGCAAGAATTTGGAAATCTTTCGGAAAAAATAGCGAAAGAAATAGACATGCAAGTTCAGAAAGCAGAGTCCCAATTATGATGGATGCAAACAAACCCAGTCCTAGACACATCATTATTAAAAAGCCAAAGTGTAAAATAAAGACAGACTCTTAAAAGCAAGAGAAAAGAAGTTAGTTACTAGAAGGTTGCTAGATGGGAGGGGGAAGGGGGAGAATGGGTGAACAGGTGAGGGGATTAAGAAGTACATATAGGTGGTTACAGAATAGCCACGGAGACGTACAATACAGTATAGGAAATGAAGTAGCCAAAGAACTTAATACCCACAATGCATGGACATGAACAATGTTGGGGGGAATGCCTAAGGGAGTGTGGGGTGCTGGGTCAGGGGCAAAAGGGGAAAAATTGGGACAACTATAATGTAGTTTTTTTTAAAAAAAGAATATCTTCAGCTCTGACCCTATGGCTCAGTTAGTTGGGCATCATCCCGCAAAACAAAAGGTTGCCAGTTCTATTCCCAGTTGGGACACGTGTCTGCATTGTGGGTTCTGTCCCAGGTTTCATGTTGTATCTCTGGTTAGGGCACATGTAAGAGTCAACCTATCAACATTTCTCTCTATGTCAATGTTTGGCCCTCCCTTCCCCTCTCTCTAAAAATAAATAAAATCTTAAAAGGAAAAGGATATCTCTAAGGTGCTATTAAAATTTTTGTTTTATTTTTTACCTCTTGAAGTTTTTTTTTCTTTTTTCTTTTTCATCCCTCCCACCTCCTCTTTTCTGGCAACTACCAGCTGGTTCTCTATAGCTGTGGGTCTGTTTCTGTTTTGTTTATTCATTTATTTTGTTTCATTTAGATTCACTTATATGTGATACCATATAGAGTATCTTTAGAGTACTCTAAAGATACCATATAGAGAGTCTTTCTTTATCCGATTTATTTCACTTAGCATGATACCCTCTAGGTCCATCCATGTTGTTGCGATGGCAAGATTTTATTCTTTTTCATTGCTGAACAAAATCCATGTGAGTATGTGTGTTTGTGTGGGTGTATGCCAATCTTATTTATCCATTCAGCTACTGATGGACATCTACATTGCTTCTGTATCTTGGCTATTACTAGTAACACTAGAGTGAACATAGGGGTGCATCAGAGTCTTTGTTCCCTTTAGGTAAATACCCAGAAGTAAAACTGCTGAATCATATGGCAGCTGAACTTTTAGTATTTTCGGTTACCTCCATACTGTTTTCTACACTGGCCACACTAATTTACGATCCCACCAGCAGTGCACTAAGTTTCCCCTTTCTTCACATCTTTACCAGCACTTGCTATTTGTTGATTTAGTGATACTGGCCATTCTGACATGTGTGAGGTAATATCTCATTGTGGCTTTAATTTGCATTTCCCTAATGATTAGTGACACTGAGCATTGTTTCATGTCAATTGTTCATCTGTATCTCCTCTTGGGAAAAATGTCTATTTACGTCCTCTGTCCATTTCTAAATTGGATTTATTTATTTATTTATTTATTTATTTATTTATTTATTGGTGTTAAGTTGTATGAGTTCTTTATGTATTTTGGATATTAACCCCTTATTGGATATATCATTTGCAAATATCTTCTCTCATTCAGTCGGTTGTGTCTTTAGTGTATATACATAATCTTTTTAGTTCATAGATAATTGTATAGGAAACAAAAGTAAAATCACTTTTATCTACTGGTAATTCTTAATCTGGGGTCTCATCTAAACCTTGACTGTTTTCTTTTTGCTTCTGCACAACAAATCAGACATAGTTGTGAAGGAGATTTGTTTCTATT